TATTGGTGAAAGTCAAAATAAACCCTAAACCCTAAAGAACATAATAAGATCATGCAGAAGTACCCATTAGGTTGGAGCGACAGGATATTGAGCCGCTCAATTTGCATGCTATCTGAACTTCACACTTCGTTGCAACTTTGAAATGTAGAGTTCATTCATGCAAAGAGGCGATTTGGGAGAAGGAAAAATGCCTGTATTTATAGAATCAGGAATGTTATGACTTACTGGAATTAAGGGTATAGAACGGAAATTATGAAGAAAAAAAATTGTGCCCTAAAATGGAATAAGGAAATCTGGATAAATATTGTGCCGTAAAAGAAAATTTAAAGAACAAGGTAAGCGTTATTTCTCCTCTCACAAGAAAAAAGTTTTCTTGCTTTCAAACTTTAGGGGTGAGAGTTCGAGAGATTTTGATGGATTTATAAATTTATAGATTTTGATGGAGTTTAATTAACATGTAGAAATTTCTTGTAAAATCTTGATTCAATTCCTTCATAAATCTCAAATTCCATCAAATTCCTTAACCATTTAAAGACTTTAAAATAAATTCCTAATTAAACACACCTGAAATGTTATAAACTTTCTTAAAATCCTTAGATCCTGATTGGATACACGTTAAATTTTAGAGAATCACTTAAAATCTTAATTGGATACCTTTATTAAAATAATTAAAATCCCTCAAAATCCGAGTTGAATTCCACCCCTTAAATTTGCTTAGAAAATGTCCACCTTTAAAGAACTGTTGATGACACACCCCGACCGAGATCAGGGCGTGCTGGCTGTCACGCAGAGGTGACGTAACCATGTGCACGTGCGGAAGCTAATAAAAAGTAATGTAAAAGTACGAATAAATAAAAACTAGCATACAAACGACAAAAGTAATGAGTGCTAGCGTAAGTGAGACGCTACGTTCAGAGCGATAAGTCTACAGCAGTCCAAATTAAAATGATACGACAACAGTGCACCCGAAGGTGACCCTACATTGGTGAGTGTCTGTCAGAAATGCCGGGAAGCCCTCTGGGAAACCACCGAACATGCTAAGCAACTAGAACCTGGAGGGGCACAAAACAAAAGCGTGAGTGGGCAAAAACAAAGTTTTTCTAAAACCATTTCAAAATAAGTTCTAACCCCTCGCCGTAAAACCTGTATACTTCCCAGAAAATAAACATATGTACGTATACATAGATATGCCAATCATGCTCAAGAATATGCCAATCATGCTCAAGAATATGCCATACCAAATCTCACACGTAAATGCAAGTGCTCAGGTATAAATCACATCAACAATATATAATCTGGCGGCCGGAGTCACCTAACGTGACCTGTACGGCTGCATATATAAATATAGAGCTCAAATCTCAAACTCAATAACTGAACCTGCCCACGAGTCGGAACCACCTAAAGTGGTCTGTACGACAGGTCTGGGTGTAACATATATATAGGCTCTAGTGCTACAATCACGTGAAGGCTATGCGAATAATCGCGGGTCACCTACGAGTCGGAACCACCTAATGTAGTCTGTACGACAAGACTGTGCACCTAACTTGGATCCAAGCTGAGCGTGTGGTGCGGGAGGTGAACATCACGTGAAGGACTGTGCCCTACTCTGGGCGGGAACACTAACACCGGGGGTGCAGGTTATGAGCTCTCTAAGCATCTCAAACCACTACTAAATATAAACGTGAATAACACTTACCTGGCACTTACCTGTGCATCCACAGCACCCAAATATGCATATGTACATGTATGCAACTAATAATGTACGTAATAATGCATAAACCATACTAATATGGTGCATGGCATAAAGCAATTAACCCTTTTTTAACAATTTCTGGGAAATATAAGTATATAAGTATATACGGAAAAACAAAAGCCCACTCACGGGTATGTGGAAGGGTCGTAACCCCCCTGCCTCGGGATACGTCTCACCTATATGCGAAAATACTATAAAAACGTTAATTTTAAAGCACATAACCTTCCTTTCGTAATAACTTCTCATACATTGCTCAAAATGGACAATTGAATATACCAACGTGCTCTACACAACCTCAGGATCACACCCATATTTTTAGAAAAATTTTCCACCGCCGCACGCGCCCCCACGCGCCAGCCACGCGCAGGCACGTGCCTGGCACGCTGACGGCGTCAATTGACGCCGTTAGGAATATTCCGTCAGTTTTGACAGATTCCGTTAACGGCGTCAGGAATATTCCGTCAGAATTGACGGAATATTCCGTCAGCTTCTCCGGCGAGACTCCGGCGCCGGAAAACTGGAAAAAACTTTAAACCTTGATATCTCGGTCATTTCTTGTCCAAATTTCACGATTTTTTCACCAAAATGACAATTAGGACTAGGAGAACATAAATATACTACTTTTAAGGGTTGAAAACCACTAGATTTTACCTGTCCAAATCTCCAAAATCCGGCCAACTCCACATCCAACGATCCCGACGTCCAAATTCACCAAATGAACCACTCCAAGACTCCTTGGGACCTCACCAAGCTACCTACAAGCTTCATCTTCCTAAAAACGTGAGGAATTACGTTCGCATGAATAGTACCCAAATCGGACCACTTCAAATCGACGTGAAAACGTTGTAGTTCTTACCTGAAAATGGTATGGTTGGACTCGTACGAGCCTCACGAGCACGGATATGGGTTTAGTTTCTTCGATCTGTAAAGGTTTGAGGGGTTTTGGGTGTGTGTCGTACGTTTATGGTGAATGGGAAGGGAGAGAGAGACACGGGACTGAACAGGGAAAGGACAGAGGGATAGGGAGAGTGAGGGTGTGTGTGTGTGTGGCCCAAAGACATGCCAACACAACACAAAAACAACCAAAATACGTAACAAAATCGAACTAGGGGCAAAACAGTCTTTTCGCACGTACGTTTTCAATATTTTTGGGACGGGATGTCACAGTTGAGGCTGAAACAAGAAAATTTTCAGTTAAAATGTCAAGTGCTTCATCCCTCGGAGGGTTAAGATATGCTTTCATCCTCGTACAAAAAAAAGGAATTTAAGTTGAGAACAATATGATTTTTAATATCGACACTAAGGGAGAGGGGTGGGCTAAACCTCTTCCCTTACAAGTGAATAGAAATATCATTAGATTGTAGTACTAAGTGTCAACAATATAATTTTAGTAATTGAGAAAATACCAAGAAGCCAATTTTGATTTTAGGTTAAGGTGTATAGGCTTCATTTAGGGGAATATCTCAATGAAATATTAGCACTAGGCTGTCCGTTTCGGCCATCGCCGCTTTGGCAATGCCGTCTCTGATTATGGCTCGCGGGCCTAAAATACAGACTGTTCCAGAATTGCCCCTGATCGTTAACGACTCCATTGAGGGGTTTGAGAAGACCTCGGCGGCTCTGAAGGTGTTGAAGGAGATCCGGGCCTACGCTGATGCCGATCGAAGGCAAGGGACAGCGACTACACTATACTGAGTTTGACAACTTTACAAAGTGGCTCTGGGTAGCCCAGTGATTTACTGTGCATTAAATTTACAAGGCCTTGTTGTCATAGACTATTTTGTGTTAGTGTTTACCTTGTGTTTTTTGTTATCTTGAGAGTCAAAGAATGAGACGTGGGAGGAAAAGTGGTGTATTAACAGAGTGCGTTTTCCCTCCCGATCTTCAGCTGTGTCGTATGGCATTTCAGCATGATTGCTGCGGTGACATCAGCTTCTCGGATAACGCGTTCATCGACATTTAGGGGCAGAGAAATTCCTGGATATGGTCGCTTTCATGGCAGATACGCTTCGGAAGGAACCTTGTATGAGCCTTTTGATGGGTTTGGATGATAAGAGGTGGCCATCCGTGCCCTAATATGGGACCCCAAAATTAGCCTTCGAAGTTGATGGACCGGAGTCGTACCACTTTTTGTAAATAAAATAGATTTGCCTCATAACAAGCCTTGTTTTTATTTATGGCTCAAATAGTGTTCTTAAAGAGAAAGTTGATCAGTGAAATAAGGCTTATTTTCAGAGAAGCAAATTTCCTTTGCTTTTTTTTTTCGGTAACTCTTGTTTCCTCCCTTCGTTAATTTGTTTGGTTATTAAACTAAATAAAAAGACATTTATTAGAAACAAAATGAGACACTATATAGCATGATATTCAAAGAAGCATCATATTCCAACAACTCGAACGTCATAAATAGTAATTACTGTTAAAGTCCCACATCGGTGGGATGAAAAGAAATTAAGGGGTTTAAATAGTATTACCCTACTCTAACTAATACCGAGGTTTTTTGTGGTAAAACCCCACACCTGACGGATTGAGCAGGTGCTAAAGGTGAGGACAGTATCGGTGTTGTTAGAGTGGGACAGGCCTCGCGATCCAAAATTTTCAACATGGTATCAAAGCCCATGGTGCGGGCCCGTGCAAGCCAATGAGCTTGTCACCCATAAGGAAACAAGTTTGAAGCCAATGAGTGCGAGCCCGTGCAAGCCAATGAGCTTGGCCCGTGCAAGCTAATGAGCTTGTCACCCATAAGGAAACAAGTTTGAAGCCAATGAGTGCGGGCCCGTGCAAGCCAATGAGCTTGTCACCCATAAGGAAACAAGTTTGAACTCTTAATATGCCAATGAGCTTGTCACCCATAAGGAAACACGTTTGAACTCTTAATATAGAGACGACCGCTGAGTTCCATTGAAAACAAGTGGGCCCAACGGGAGCCGGGGAGTGTTAAAGTCCCACATCCCTCGCCGCAGGGGGGGTGAAAAGAAACCAAGGGGTTTAAATGGTATTACCCCACTGTAACTAATACCGAGGTCTTTTGTTACTAATACCGAGGTCTTTTGTGGTAAAACCTCCTCACATCTGATGGATTGGGCAGATGGTATAAGTGAGGACAATATCGGTGTTGTTAGAGTGAGACAGGCCCAGCGATCCAAAAATTTCAACAATTACAATATACAATGATATCTAAACACATGAAACCAATATACACGCACATAAAGACGATATCTACACCGCTGCATATGTAGTTCACCACCCATTAAGCAAATGAAGGGGCGCCTGCAGATTATTTCATCTTATTCCTACTATCTTTTTCCCCAATCATCTCTTTGAGATGCAATTATCTCTCCTTAACTGATCCAAAATTAAGAAGTCTTTGCGGAACAAGCAGGTGGAATAACTTTGCCAGTCACAGTAGGGTTCACATTAGAACATACCGATGTACAGGTGCCATTTTTCCCATTGCATGTCAAATTAATGTCACTAATTTCCACATTCTGGCATGGAATGCCTTTGCTGCAAGCAAGCTTGACAGCAATAGGATCAGCAGAGGTGCCCCTAATGTTCTTGAAGCTCACATTGCTGATTTTAACCCGCGACGGCATTTTCGCTTGGCATTGGCCATTCGGGCAGTATTCTTGGTCTATAAGGACCGGGGAAGTAGTCACGTTTTCCATAATTATGTCCTCGAAATGCAAATCCGAGGCCACACCATTAGGTGAAGCAGGCCATGTCTTAACCCTAACACCATTGGAAGTGTTTTTTATGGTGCAATTTCTCACTGTGACCCCTCTTACAGGTTGCTCATCGTGGTACCTGCCTAGGCTACCAATGCTAATGCCGTGGCCTGGCCCGCACGTCACCTTCTCGATGTTAATTTGCTGGCTTCCATCACCAATGGAGACACAATCATCACCAGTTTGAATTTCTGCGCCGGTGATGTTGATGTTCGTTGACCTACCAATGTGGATTCCGTCGGTGTTTAGGCTTTCGCCAGGGGCGCTGATGGTCACATGTTGAAGAGTCACGTTTTTGCAGTTCAAGATATTCATGTGGAACAACTTGCTGTTCGTAGATGTTATGTCTTGAATGTGTGCATTGGTAAGCCCAGTTAATCTTAAACTCTGCGTTCAAGGAAAAAGAAAGTGCGTTAGCAATTGTGTTAATTTTGGGTGTCTAAATAGCGTTAGTCATTGAGAATATGTGGAGATAAAATTAAAAAACGTACAATAGGAAGCGAGTTGCATTTGCCAGTTTTGGCACAATCATTTTTGGACCAAGCAATTGAACCTTGGCCATCAAAAGTGCCACCTCCTGAGACTGATAACCCATCAATGTTTTGGAAAATAACCCATCCATCTTGTGACTTGAGCTTTTCGGGTTCTGCCGGAGCCTGTAGGGTTCCTTCAACCCGAAGGCTAACCGGTGCTTTGCAGGGTCCTTGAAACTTCACTGGACCAACCATGTAGTTTCCCTTCGCTATCACAACCGTGCTTGGCGTAGCAGATGTGCAGGCTTCTTTCCAAGCACTATTAATAGCCTAAAATCATAATCAAAACATCACTAATGTGCTAAAAAGTCCGGTTCATATTCATAATCTGATAACATATATAATAAATGTGCTAGATATGTGACAAGAAACGCAAACGGAACCAAAACGCGCAGAAAATTGTACCTGGCTGTCATCTGTCTTTGCATCAGCCTTGGCTCCAAACTTCTTGATATCAATATCTGCAGCTTTGGCTTTTATGAAGAGTGCTACCAAGAACAAAAAGAATGTAGCTCCAAGAACAAACTTCGAACCCATGTCAGACTTCTTCTGTGTTACAAATTTTTAGCTTCTGATAACTTGATTAGTACTGGAATTAATTAAGATTGATTTGATTAGTTAATCTCAAGGGGTTCGATTTTTATAGTGTAGTAAAGGGAGCTGAAAACCACAAAATCCTGACCTAATTTTTATGTGGACTAATCTCTGACGTCCTCATGTTTTTGTGATGATTAATTTAACTCAATTTTAGGTGTCATGGTTCCTTAATTTACCTGCTAACAAGCTTTTATACCTCTAAACCATTCACATGTCAAAAAATGCATGTCTTACTTTTTATGACAATTTACGTGTGTGGAAGAGCTTATGGCCTCTAATCTAAGATAAACTTTATTAACTAATGCATTTATCGCATTCAGTGCACATTAATTAGGAAGTTTTATATTAAGACGTAAAATTCAAAAATGTCATTCTTATCATATTTTTCATATCGTATTTGCACATCTTCATAATAGAGATGAGACTCATATGTGCTGGTGGGCCTACCTCTATTAAAAAGATGGTACTGATATGATATGAAAAATGTGGTAGTGTAGCTTACTCGAAAAAATTCGATGTTTTGAGTGGTCATCTTGGTGCTATAGGGTTTGGACATCTGAAAATAATGTTGGAAACACACATCACCAATGATGAGGTTGGAGAGAGTTGTAAAACTGGACTTCGCCAAGTTGGCTACAATGGTGTGCCCCCCCCGCTCTCCCTCTCTATGACAGATAGGGTAGCCAAGTGGCTTTTTGTAAATGAGACAGGTGTCTAGATCTTAGTGGTTGGATTATAATGGCCAGCTTTGGGTTGCTAATAGCTGTAATTAGTTGCTGTTTGGTTAGCAGTTAATTAGAGTCGATCTTCTCTGCTGGTTAATCAAAGCCATACAATTTCAAATGCAAGGCAGGTAAAGTGTCAATGAACTTCTGGCTGACATTAGTGCCTTCCGTCTATGAATATATACAAATATAAGTGGCAAATGCAGCCTGTAACGAATTTTGCGTCGATACCGACTTTAAACTCTCTCAGATTCAACCTCTACTGTGATGGACCAATCTTGGCACTGACTAAACAATAAATTGGTACAATGCTGCTATGGTAAAGTACAACTGCAACAAAATTGCTTTTACGCTATCGAATCTGTTTCATTTTTTGTGTTTCCCAGTGACTAGACATCTTTCCAAATCGACAGGAAGACCACCCTTCGGCTTTAGCCAACTGCAAGCACATCAAATTGACGCTTTGCTTTCAATGGCCGTCTTGATTGTACTGACAAAATCATCAATTGGCATGGTGCCAAGATCGCCACCAAACCTGGATCTTACTGTAACAGTGCCAGTTTCAACTTCCTTGGCACCAACAACAGCCATCAATGGAATTTTCTGCATCTCTGAATTTCTAATCAGTTTCGGCAGGCGTTCACCCTGGCAAAGTTCACCACGAATACCATTTGCTTTCAGTTTGTTGGTTACCTCTTTGCAGTAATCAAGCTGTACAAAAATCAAAATTTTGCTTTAGGGCAAAGATAATCATCTCATACTCAATAGTAACTAAACAAAAAAGACATTTATCGAAGGTTGGTTTGCTTGTCTACAGAAATTTGAATGGCTCCTTCGCAGGTTCGCTTGCACATCACACAATGCACAAATTCTGTCATCTTTTGAAAGGATCCATCACTCCTAAAGTGTTGGAGGGTAAACCCGCAAAAAAGATGTCATATCGAATGAATTACAAGTATACAAGTAATTGTATGAACAATCGCTCATGGGATGGATGAAAAACTAGACCCATTTTATCAATGAAAATTGAAAAGGTAAAGTAATCCAATGTAAGTTGAGCCATGCAAATTTCATGGGGCAACCAAGGCCCAATGCAGGTGTGTTGAGGGTTCTTGAGTTAATCGAAACATTAAACGTGCAACTGCTTTACAAACCTGAGAGTCAGTAACTGGTAAAACATGAGCTTGTACTGGTGAAAGCCATAATGGAAAATCCCCGGCATAATGCTCTATAAGGACCCCAAAAAACCGCTCCAATGACCCAAGAACAGCTCTATGAATCATGATAGGCCGCTTCTTTTCAGAGTTTGAGTCAACATATGTTATGTCAAAACGCTGTGGTAGGTTAAAATCAACCTGTACAATTTGGGACATACAAAAGATCAAACAATGTAAAAAAATAATAATAAGTGGCTTTAGTCCATCAAACAAATCCATGTAATTCGCTCAATTCAAAAAAGATGCTTAAATCTCCAATGAACATTTTGCAAAGTGATACAGAGATAGACGGAGAGACTACCAATTAAAAAAAAAGCACACATTAGAATTATCCCGTCATCAGTTCAGGATTAACCTGTATAGTTGAGCACTGCCACTTCCTTCCAAGGGCATCCTCAATCTTAAGATCAATCTTTGGACCATAAAAGGCACCACCACCTTCATCAATTTGATAGCTCCAACCTTTATCATCCAAAGCATCTCTAAGGGAAGATGTTGCTTTCACCCATATATCATCATCTCCAACAGCTTTCTCTGGCCTCGTAGAGAGATTGACCTCATATTTGTTGAAGCCGAATTGCAACAAAAGTTCTTCAGTAAGATCTAGGACACCCCTAATTTCATCTTTGATCTGATCTTCTAGACAAAATATGTGGGCATCATCCTGCAAAAGGTCCCTAGGTTAAACAAAAAAAAACTTCATACACCTAGGATTATAGACTCACAGTTTGCAAATACGAACACCATACCTGAGTAAAACCTCTTACACGAAAAAGACCATGCAAGCTTCCAGATAATTCGTATCTATATACGGTTCCCAACTCAGCAACTCGAATAGGAAATTCATGATATGAGTGAGGCTTCCTTTTGTAAACCAAGATATGATAGGGGCAGTTCATCGGTCGAAGCTGATAAAGTTCATCCTCAACATTCATTTGATCATACATATTCTCCTTGTAGTAATCCAGATGACCACTTATCTGCCAAAGGTTCGCCTTTGCAACATGTGGAGTATACAGCAGATCGTAACCACGTTCTATGTGGATCTTTTTCCACAAATCTTCCATTACATGCCTCACAATAGCACCCTTTGGATGCCAGAACACTAAACCCCCACCAGCATCATTCTGTGAAAATTCAACAATGAAAATGTTCAATGCAAGAATCCTCATAATTACAAATAATGGGATTGCTAACTGATAAATCTGCGTAAACAGCAGAAAGAGATTCAGGGCAATTCTGAGTACCTGTATAGAAAACAGGTCAAGAACTTGACCAAGGCGCCTGTGATCTCGACGTTTAGCTTCCTCTTTGAAATGAAGATATGCCTTCAATTGATCTTCACTCTCCCATGCAGTGCCATAGATCCTCTGCAGCATCGGTTTCTTTTCATCTCCTCTCCAGTAGGCACCAGCAATAGACTCAAGTTCAACAGCTTTTCTGTTAATATTTCCAGTTTTTCCAACATGGGGCCCCGCACATAGGTCCCACCATTCATCACCTATGAAGAATTGGGCATACTATGAGGAATAATGACATAAAGAGAGTTTCATATGACAGGATGCTAGTTCAAAACACAATCAAATCCCAGTACAAGCATGCATATGTATAAACATATGTATAATTTGGTTAGCTTGACCAAAAGGTTCCTCCCACCTTCAAATTAGTCTCCTTTTCGATCTGCATATCAATAACTCATTTTTATAGAGCACCAACAACATTGTTTTCCCTGAGCACACCCCCACCCTCTCTTTTTTCTTCCTCTAAATTTCCATCTTAAGACTCGACACAAACACTGTACATTTCACTTGTGTAGCTAATAAAAATATAAAATAAATAGCTGAGTTTTATTGACAAGTAAATCATTTACGCACAGTTCCTGCAGATTAAATCATCACCTTCCATACTATATTGAGCCTGAAAATGGTGAAACCCTTACCAATATGATATATGGTAATGGGATCTTCTTTAATACTTTCCAAAATTTCCAATTTGTAAGGTTCGTTGAGAGCGGTTATTCTTTTGTGAGCTTCATCTCTTGAAACTTCTTCTTTTATGAGTGGTAAGTTTCTACCAATGATGCGATCCTACAAATCACAAAAGAAATGCTCATGAATAATTTTCAATAGTTTCATGGTTCCAAAACTTTGATACAAACATGATAACTTATACAGAAATTCCACTTACCATCTCCTTCTTGATTCTCTTCAACTCTTTGTCCGTCAAAGGCTCCATATCAAAATCATAATAGAACCCATTTTCTATCCACGGACCAATTGTCACTTTTGCATCCGGGAAGAGCTTTTGAACAGCCATGGCCATCACGTGTGCACACTGCAGTCAAACACATATAAATTGTTCATCATCATAACAGCGGAAAAGGCGCCATTAATACCAAACTACGAGGAAATTCAGCAAAAAATGAACATAGCTCGACCTCAACACTTTATCAAAATACAGAAACCCATGTATCTTCTCACATTCCCAAAAACAGGATTGAAAAATCTTCCAGCTGATCTACTGCTGTACACCCATTTTTCCAGGTCCTATTCGACCAAATTTTAAATTACCGAAAAGTTATCTTCTCATTTTCTTCTACCTCACTTCCTCATTCTTCACAACAGAATCAGGTGACGATTAGTAACATAGAATTGAAAATAGTTGAACAAAACCATCAAACTTTCAAAAACAGAAAGCTCCGAAGAACCTAAAAATTCCAAATTTTCGCCACGAAAGCACCTCCTACTTCAATTTAACATAACACATCACAAATCCAATCAAAAGCAATGAAATTTCAATAAATACCGTGTGTCGAATCCTGAGGAGGCTGTCGGAGGACTCGTTGGTTGGAAGCACGACTTTCTCAGGCTTATCAGTTACCTCCATCTGGGCAACCTTCAATTTGTCGTCTTGGTTCGAGACCTGAGCATCCGTGGCCATCGCCGAGGAGGTGGAGACTCCATTTCTGCCGCCGTAGAGGGACAGAGCCCTGAACTCGGAGCTCAGTGGCGAAGCGCAGTGTTTAACTGGGGAAAGGAAAGAAGAGTTCTTTAGGAGAGGGATTGAGAGGAAGGAAGAAGAAGAAGTGGCCATTGCCATTCTCTGAAGAATTAACATCTGGGTTGTGTTTGGATTTCAGAATTATGATTGGGTTCGTGTGCAACGGTGGAGGGTGAGTGAGAGTGGCGTTTGTGACTTCGTTTGTGGTGAAGGCTTGGCTTTCGGTTTTTTGTCCCTCGGACGCCCTATAACATTTTTAAAGGAAATGTCAAATATAGTAAATCAAAATTTTATTTGATAACTGATATGGTAAATTAAATATAAGTGTTAAATTTTTTTTTTTACAATGAGAATTATTATTGACACTCTAAAAATCTCATTCTACACCCCTCGTATTTTTCTTTTTAAATATAGAAAATTTGGAATGAAGAATGAGAATTTTGGAGTGCCAATAAAAAATTTCCTTTTCAATAGATGTGTCAAATATTTATTTTATTATTTTATTAGACTTAGAGTTACATTAACTATTAAAAAAATAGTCAAAATTAGTTTTAGTTTGTATTCTATTAGTTGTTAATGCGATTCATGCATTCAAAAAATTAAATTAAATATATTTGACTTTTTTTTTTATTTGCTGTCAAAAAAGACAGCTGAAAATTAAGGAATCAAATCACTACACGCCTGATATTGATTTTTATAGGACCATAAACGAGTCTAGTTAAACTGAATATTGCAATTTTCAAGTTTGACTTGTTAATTTTTATTTTTTCAAGCTCAGGTTAGTTTGTTTTACTTGCAATTGTTATAGGAGCCTAACTCGAGTGAGCTTAAAAAGTTCAAGCTCGGACCGAACTGAGCTATTTCGAACTATTAACTTGACATTACTAATAGAAAATATAAAACATAAACCATGTAAAACAACATTTTCAAACATACTAGATTAAGATATTCGCATAAACATCTCTTTCATTTTTGAGTCTTTAGGGTTGGAAGCCCATGGAAGGCTTGTCACCACATTTATATTATCTTTAGAAACAAAAGAAGACAGTGGAGACATAATATCAATCTCCGTCGTAATAAAAAATGGCCAAATTGAAAATGGTCCTTTGTAGCAGATGCCGTCATCTCGTGTGGACATGTGTTAAACAACTTCTATTCCAATTAAACTCCTTAAATGGAATCTAGTTTGAGTTGTCTTGTGACTACTCACAAGCTTTATGAGCCAAACGTACCAATAATCTAGTTTAGCTTGTTTCTTATTTAGTCGAACATAAACTTGACTTGCTTCTTACATGAGTGAGCATCGACAAGCCAAACACGAATCGAACCCAATGCAAACTCAAGTCATGCCGATTTACAACCCTAGGGTTCGACTTGAACCATCTCCAAGTTGGACTAGATTTGTAGACCAATTCGGGCAAATAAGTAAGTCTAACTAGGGTTTGGAGACCAATTCATGACAGTTAGGGTTTTTCCAAAGAAAAAACGATATATTGTCGCACTTTATGTTATGTACTATCTTATGTCTCCAACAACATAGAGAACTTAACCCAAATCCTAAAACGACAACATTATGGAAAAATGTTTTTAAGTTGATAATCCTACATTCTTAATCATTGTTTAACTTGTACATTTTAAGCTAAAAACGTACCGATACAACTAAAAAAACAAATGTTCCTCTATTTTTATCTTCATCTTATCCTTTTCACTTTGCATTCTAAGCCCTGTATTTACCATTTTCTGGTTCAGTAGTTGTAAATCCAATCCATATCTAGTTTTCTATGCCTCTAGGTTCCACGTGTCGCGAGTTGATTAACCAGTGGATCCCTTTGTCAACGGTTCCTATATTTGTAGACTCCAACAACTCTTTCTCAACAAATAAAAAAATAAAAAAAAAACAGTTATGCATTGCAGATTCTAAAATTTCCTAATCTCTTCTCTCTCTTCCTGCCTTCCTCTTAAACCCTAACATTCTCAAGTCCAATTCTAAATGCAAAGTAAGAAACGTAGGAGGAGTTTTTAATGAAAATCTCTTATGATGGCAAAAAAGTTGAAAATGAAAGCTCTTTTCAAGCCAAAGGCAAGAATGCCGATAGAGCTTGTAAAGCACATGCGTGAGCTTTTGATTTTTATTGATCAAAACACCAATGCGCATGAGCAAAAGCGAAAGGAAAAGGAAAAGGTTTGAGTTTTACTTCACATTCATGTTGTATAATTGTTTGATTGGGTTTTCATTTTGGGTTTTGAAAAATTGAATTCTACGATACATTGTGTCTATAGGTGAGTATGGTTTTGAAATGAATGAAATTGTAATTTGGTTTGAATTGTACTGATATTTTTTTTTTTTTTTTGAAATTTGTTATAGATGGAAGAATTGACAAAAGCAATATTGGAGATAAGAACTGTCGTATATGGAGATGATGATTCAGAACCAAATAAAGATTCTTGTGCACAACTTACTCGAGAGTTTTTTAGGGAAGACACTTTCAGGCTCCTCATTGTTTGTCTTTCAAAGCTCAACTTGGGGGTAAGCGATAAGAAATTAAAGCATGTTAGCTTAATTATTTAATTACCAGATATATATTGTTAATTAAACGACTTTGTGTGCCCTATTGCATTATTTAAAGATGTCACATTTGTGTTAATATTTGATTTGAAGCAGGATCATCAAAACGCCACTCATGTCATTGCAAATTTGCAAAGGCAAAAGGTTCAGTCGCGTATAATTGCATTAGAGTATTTGGAGAATAATATTGATATTATGGATATTCTGATAAAAGGGTAAGAACGCACATGTACTAGTAATGAAGTTCATAAAATGTAAATAGCCAATATTGGAATTAAAATATTAATGAACGGTTTGGTTTGATTTGGTTTAGGTATGAAGACAGTAGTGATATTGCTTTATCTTATGGTGCAATTACAAGGGAATGCATTCGTCATCAGAATATTGCAAGGTGATTAACCTTTTGTTTCGTAGTTATAGTCTTAGAATTTAATTTCTTTTTAAATGAGCTTGGATATCATATCATAGTATAAATCATTTATTGGTTAATGTCACAGATATGTACTAGAATCAGACCACATGAAGGAGTTTTTTTTTTATTACATTCAAACTCCAAATTTCGACATAGCATCGGATGCTGCAGCTACTTACAAGATTCGATCAATTTCAAACACCTATCGAATTTTAATGAATGGTCATTGTTATGCTTAAAATTCCTTTCACTAGCTTGATCATTAACTCATCGGCATACTTTGAACAGGAGCTTATGACTAGGCACAAATCAACTGTTGCTGAGTTCCTTTCTAAGAACTATGAGTGGGTAAGATTCATATAATCTTCATGAAATTTTTTGGTTATTTCAAGCTATTGGTACTTCATTTTTTTACTTTTTACATTTTCTATGTTCAGTAGAATGATCTTTATTAATATATGAATTATTAATTATCTTCTCTTGTGAATTTGGATCCAGTTTATCCATGAGTACAATTCACAGTTGTTGGAGTCTCCCAATTATATCACCAAACGCCAGGCTATCAAGGTAATAAAATTTACAAAATAATTTTTCAGCCGACTTTCTTGGATAAACCATTCAATTTGTTCCTCTACTGTTATTTTCGTCTTGAGAACCAATTTATGTGTTCATATGCATATCGTAATTTTGTTTCAATTGTTAGGAGATATGTTATTGAATTGTACAAACTCCGATGTGATGGCTCGATACGTGTGCTCTCTGCATAACATGATCATCCTAATGAACCTTCTCAGGGTATCGAATCTCTCTCTTTCTATGAGAATTTTGCATGGATCTATACATCACTTATTTAATTCATTTATGTGTTTTTTTATGTTTGCAGGATCCAAAGAAGACAATCAAGTTGGAAACCTTTCAGGTCTTCAAGGTTTGTTCCGAACATCAACTTTTAAACTCTTAGTATTATAAATATTTAAAGTGTAATTAATTTCTTGTTTTTGTTAATGACAGCTCTTTGTTGCAAACCAAAATAAGCCTCCTGAGATTGTTAATGTACTTGTCAAAAATCGAACCAAGCTTATTCGTTTCTTTAACGACTTCACCATTGAGAAAGGTAGGGTTTCTTTGTTTCGATTTAAAATCTACTCCTTGCTGTTCATCTCTTTTTTGAACTCATTTTTTTAATAAAAATCAAACTACAATTTTCTGCAGAGGATGAGCAGTTTGAAGCAAACAAAGCTCAAGTTATTAATGAGATTTCTGTTCTTAAACTCAAACGGAGCAATCCCAAGATGTCATCGGTCTTCAGCTTTAGAACCAATTGTGCGATTCAATGTTAAAATTGTACAGTGGAGCTATAGGCCTCGTTTCAGAACTCGATTTGAAAAAGAAGTTGAATTACTCTACCACTGATCAATTAAAGTTTTGTTCTCATATATCACCTACAGCTTAACTCCGTATATTGTTCTATGCACTTGACCCTTTTTTAAGCATATTTTGGCATGCGTCAAAATATCTTTACGGTTTTTTTTTAAGGGTCACGAGCATTTAATTTTCAAGACGAAAATATCTAAAAGGTTGAGAGTAGAAAACTGCAAATAGGACCTATGATTTCATATTGTATTATATTCAATAACCAAGTTGTAAACAGAAGATGTATCGCAATATCTTCTTTAAAATTCTAATAAAAGTATATTTGTTTTCAATTTTGCATGAGAATTTTCATGAGCTGCATTCATTCCCTTTTTATTCTTTCTTCCTTAAATATGTTAGACTATTGGTTTCTATGTGATGTTGAAAACGAAGGCTTTCTGTTTGGCTCAAAAAACCAAAATTTAGGTTGGAAGTTTCATATTTTTTGTTATGTTGGGAAGGTGTTCGTATGTTTGATATTTGTATGATATAAAGATTTAAATTTTTGTTTTTGTTATTCTTTTAATCAAGTGTATGCCTACACAAACATAATTATAAGCTCATTTAGCAACAAAATTAATGAGACATAAACTATAATGCCACATCCTTGTTCAAAATCAGTTATACAAACAGTCTAACTCAGTTTATCTAAACTACCTATTAATGAAATTTTCTTTGTCAATCAAAATAGGGTAAAGCATGTGTTTCAATATCCTAGTGAATGGTGTGTTGCGTTTTCAACCATGCGTCCTGGGTTCGAAACTCTCCCTCCTCTAAATTATTGTTTTAGTTCAAAGCCTCACAACTAAGTAGCCATATTGGTTGACTCCCTTTTCTCTTCCACGGTTTTCCCCGAAATAAAATAAATTTTAATGACAAAATAGTTATTCAGAAATTATCGATAAAGATAAGAAAAACCTCTTCAGCGACGAAAAATTGTTTGAAGTCGTCACCAAAAACCTTTACCGACTATTTTATATTTTCTCTCTTTGTAAAATTTTATTTTACAAAATTTTAATAAGCACATGCATAGGTTTACAATTGCTAGTTTAATTGAAATTACTTAATGTCCAGAATACATTGTCATCCCAAAAACAATAGACATTGACAAAGGGTCTAAAGTTTCAAAGTGATTTCCTTCAAAATTCCACGGTTTCAAGAGTGCCATTGGTAGGAGATTTAGTGTTCAATATGAAATAGCCCTGAATATTTAGATGAAAAATTAGCGAAGTTAATGTGAAATAGCATATTAAAATTTTAAGAAGATTAATATGACAATTCGCTTAACATTTTAGTTAGAATGACAAATTAAAAGAGGTTTATAAGTTTATATAATTTTTTTTTTTTTAAATTGCCTCCTTTTTATTTAGAGTTCTGATTAGCTCACCAGAGAATTTATCAATAATAGCCAAAATTTAACACTCACTTTCATAACACTTTTTATAAAATCTTTCAAATATAACAGAAAATTCACATGAATAGACCTAAATGCCCTCAAAATCCAAAACTCATCTACACATAAAAACCAAAACAATTGATCAATAGATCTCCTCTGCATCTTTGTTTGAGGAACTATAATCCCCTATGATGCACATATACTTTACTTTTGTTATACTTTTTCAGATATGATACTTGTCGGATACTCATCGGATACATATCATGGTTAACGGACACACTTTGACTTGACGGATACATGTATCTAAAGGTGGGCATGGTTCGGTTCGGTGCGGTTTTGATTGAAACCAAACCGTTTGGTTCAGTTTGGTGCGGTTTCAAACGGTTTTGGTTTGATTTTTAAGAAAAAATGTACAATTTGCAATTTAACATATTAATAAGCATTTTCCAATTTGAACATATAAAATTTAAAGTTTTACGTTTAACAATCCTTCCTGCAACATCAAAATGTTTGATTAGAACAACTACTACTATGCATGTATTGCAACAACAGCAATAGGAAAAAGACATAAAACCGAAATGAAACCAAACCGTTTGGTTCAGTGCGGTTTCAAACGGTTTCGGTTTAGTTTTTAAGAAAAATTGTACAATTTGCAATTTAACATATTGATAAGTATTTTCCAATTTAAACATATAAAATTTGAAGTTTTAAGTTTAACAATCATTCCTGCAACATCAAAAAGTTTGATTAGAACAACTGCTACTACGCATGTATTGCAACAACAGAAATAGGAAAAAGATATTTGTTATGTAAACAATTAGCATGTTGCATGCAGTTGTGAGTTTAAGATATGTTTGTGCAACAAAGGGGTGTCCCGTACAAGGTATAACATAAAACAAGTTGAATAACTTTCAATTCATTAAACGTGAGTGAAACTTTCATACTATAATATGTGATATCATGCTTCAAATGAGTGGACTTTATTACATCATTGTTCGACTCATGATAACATGATTAGTCCACCCTTGAACATATATAGTTACATATAAATGTGTGTGTGTGTGTGTGTGATGGTATAAAATAACAAAGGTCCTTCAAGTTAATGAACGAAAGAAAGTGATGAATCATGATATTCTAGTGTGGTTGAGTCCATACTAAGTGTATGGATTCTAACAAACAACCAATTAAAACATGAAATCTAATATGGACATTTAATTAAATGTTTATTAATATTTACGGTGCGGTTTGGTTTCGGTGCGGTTTTCAAAAGCCAAAACCTAAACCAAATCATTTCCTACGTTGCGGTTCGGTTTCAAAACCGCAAAACCAAACCGTTCAGTGCGGTTCAATTTGGTTCGTGTTTCGGTTTCCATTTTTGGTTCCAAGTGTCCACCCCTACACGTATCCACATTTGAGATACAAGTATCATGCTTTTAGAATACTTGTACACTTTCAAATAAGAAATTAAAAAGAAAAAATTAATAAGAGACGAAGCTTTATTTGAAATCAGTGAACATGAATTATGAAGAGCCAACCTCTAATTGAAACTATGAATACAATTGTCACCCTTCTTTTATATATGCCAAGGGAATTAGATTTCCAACTTTTCTTCTCCAACAAATCAAATGAACTTGAATTTGGATGATCTCGTGTTATCAAAATATGTTCTAAATTATATATTTTTATCTTTGTTTATTATTATATAATTTTAATTGATGTATCTATCGCATATGGTATCCTACTTTTTAGAGATTTTTTGTATTGCCGTATCCGTGTCCGTGTTTCACAGATGATCCCCAAATTTTGACCTCTTTTTTATGTTAAGTTGGGCAATTTGGGGAGCTAGGAACTCAAGATTTTCAAATGGAAAGATGGAAGCCCTGAACATCCTTGTATTTCGTACCATCTCCCTTTGGTGTAATTTTATCCACAGCAACTCAAACTCCTTTAAGCTTAGACCCTTTACTCTTCTTTTTCGTCTCTGCTTTGGACTCTAAATTCTCATTGGCATCAAAATTTCCATCAGTAGTAATACTACAAGGTCTTAACATTTTTGCTTGCATTGTTTCTTGTACTCCTCTTAAGTCTTTCTGTCTTCTCTTCTTGGTGACATGGAGTTTCTCAATTTCATCTGAGGACTTCTTTTTGTTTCCAATTTACAGTTGGTTTGACATCACGAAATGTGCCTCTCATTTTTTCTTAATTCTGATCTAATAGGGTGTTGTCTCTTATGTTTATTTGGTTTTTAATTAGGCATTATAGTCAAAATGGTCTATGAGATTTGCATAACACATCACTTTGGTCCTTGAGATTGAAAATCAATAGAAATGGTCTCTAAGATTGTCCACTATCCATTATTTTGGTTATTCGATTAAAAACTCCATTAAGTGTCCCAGACCTCTTGACTGGAAGTTTTGGCAATTTTCAAAGCTTCGTAACTCAATCATTTCTTAACCAAATTCGACCCATAATATATCAAAATGAAGATAGGAAAGTGTAGAATAAGATTATACCTATTTGGAAACCCAATGATTGCTGGAGATGGCCGGAAAATAGCCTGAAAGGTGACTGGTCCGCAAGAAAACTGGAAAACTCGCCAAAAACTGGGTAAACTTTAAACGTTCATAACTTCTTCAATGCTCAACGAAATTGAGTGATTCGAAAATGAAAATCATACTTCTCAATAAGATGAAGAGAATGGTACCTTTCTCAATAGCTAATTCGTCATGGTTTGGCTGGAAACGGCTCGAAAGTGGTTAACTCGAGACTAAGACAGCCACTTTCGAGCCGTTTTCCGGGCAACCACGATGAATTAGCCGTTGAGAAATGTACCATTCTCTTCTTCTCATCGAGAAGTATGATTTTCATTTTTGAATCACTCGTTTTCGTTGAGTATTGAAGAAGTTATGAACATTTAAAGTTTACCTAGTTTCCAATTTTCCTGCGGACCAGTCACCTTTCAGGCTATTTTCCGGCCATCTCCGGCAACCATTGGGCTTCCAAATAGCTTTAATCTTGTTCTACACTTTCCTATCTTCATTTTGATATATTATGGGTCGAATTTGGTTAAGAAACGATTGAATTACGAAACTTTGAATATTGCCCAAACTTTAGGCCAAAAACTCCAGAACACTTAACAGAGTTTTAAATGGAATGACCAAAATAATGGATGGTGGACAATCTCAAGGACCATTTCTATTAATTTTCAATCTCAGGGACCAAAGTGATATGTTATGCAAGTCTCAGGGACCATTTTGGCTAAAAAGCCTTTTAATTATAAGGGTATTTAGGTCTGTTTAAGTGGTTTTTCTGCTATATTTGAAAGAATTTATAAAAAATGACATTTATGAAATTAAATGTTAAATTTTGGCTATTATTGATAAATTCTCACCTTACTAGGTAGCGAGCATTAACACCCTTTTTTAAACTGTGTCACGTGTCATTGACTTAACCATCGTTAACTAATTTTATTATTATACATAACAAAATAATTTAGTAATATAGAATTACCCAAATGTATATAATAAAATTACGAAAACAACCCTAAGTTCTTCGTCTCCAACTTTTTTTGAAACTACTCTTTCATCCCTCCAACAAATTTTGAAACCCTTCCTAATTTTATCAAACCTTAGTAGTTCAATGACAAAAAGAACAACCACAGTCACAGCCACAACCACACCACCACCATTGTCATGGTTGCTTGCCACTTGCGCCACGGCCGCAAACAACCACAACTACTGCCGCGGCCATGGCTACATCAAAATTTCCTTTGGATTTTAGTTTTTTTTTTTTTTTTCTTTTCAAAAGATTATGAAATAAAAGAAGAGGATTTCAGAAGGGTAAAAATACAACATAAAAAATAAAAAATTTCAACATAATTCCCCAAGAGTAAGAATCAGAATATGCGACTACTTATTCATGGGGGTCCCTACATGGGTAACCCTTAAAATGTTTCACACTAATAGTAAATCAACATTAATCTCAGGTACAGTAAAAACAAACCAAATGATGGTAAAAAAAATGAATGAAAAAAAAAAAAAAAAAAAAAAACAGCAATCCCTTACCAGAACCCACAACTTGGCCAGGAGATTGTACAGATAAAATTCTAGAGGGAAAAAAATATGTATCAGTCTCTCTCTTTTGATTTTTTTGGTTTTTCCTCTTTTTCTTTTAGGGTATCGTCGCCTCACCGGAGATGCATGATACACTTCTGACTATATCCCGCAATCTGGTTTTACATCTCACTCAAAGACCAAAACAAAAAACCTAAAATCGTAACTCAAAACTCACAGAATTAACACAAAATCCATTTTTCAACTTCTAACTCTATATTTAACTTCTTCAAAACAGCCACCCACAGTTAGCCCTTACTAACCAAATTTCTCTTACTGTAATATGCGGTGGTGTGCAAAATTCACAATTCACCTGCTTCATTATCTTCACCTACAGTGTCGTGATATCAGAAATGACGATCCTAGGCAGCAATTCCTGAAAAACAATAGGAACGGAACCTGTAAGTGTCGGCAGTCACAAATATTGATAATTAAGTGAGCAACACGCACACAGTCTAACACAAATTGCAAATGTGTTGCCCCCAAGAGATATCGAGTAAAACAGTATCCTAAGCAATACAAAATCTCACTAAAAGAATGGGCGCTCGCTCATCTGAGAGATTAAGCTACGTAAATATAACAACATGCTTTATCGTTTAGAACTGTTTCAAGATTCCAGCAAACAAGCAATATGCAGCCATCATAATCTAAGCTGTTAATTGTTCACTGATGGAAACACTGCACAATTAATCTGAGCTCAAATCTGAAGAGACAAGGATCAAAAAAATGATACTTTCAGCGATAGCCTATTCTCTGTCCCTTGTTTATCTCTCCGTTGTTACTTTGACACACTCCAAACTGCAGCAGTTGAACAGCCATAAGACAGTCACTTTTTAGCCCAACTACATCTTCCTTCTCCATAATTTCATGCCCCTGATTAGTGATTTTATTAGTTAAACTGACAGACGGAGTTCAAGGGTTGTTTACGGGATAATTGTTGCTATTTGGTGAGGAAACACACACAGGCAAGAGAGAAACAAAGAGAGCCTAAACACATTTTAAGTTTAACCATGGGCTGAGCTGAATTTGTATTTTATATACTCAACGATCTTATCATAGACTCCTTTAGATTTCTCTCAGTTTCTTCCTTAAATGCATTTAAAAACGAAAGGTAAAGATAATACTCGTATACTAATCTGCAAGGACCTTGTAAAAACAATAAACTTATATGCACCACTGAGTATACTTTACGTGGGCCAAGGTGTAGGAAAAAGAAAGCTCCTACTTTAAAAAGCATGCCTTCAAGCTCAAATTATGAACATTAAAGCCACTTTACCAGTGAAGATAACCTAGAACGGAGAAGGAAAAGAAGCAACTTTATTACGACACAGATGCTGGATCCTAGTAAAGACAGGGTGAACAAGTCCTTGCAACAACAGATATTTTCAACCATTAAGAGCTAGGGATTGCACAATAGAGAGACAAGCAGTGCAGCAGATTAAAGGGGATATGAAAAAAAAACAAAACATTTATGACCCAAAAACGCACATGCCTACATAGAAAAAGAATGCACTTGAAAGTCTGGTGAAAAAATTGAAAAAACAAATAAACTCAACGTAATGGAATGAGACTATGAAAGGTACACTGTCAAAAATAGTCATCCGCCTTTCAGAATACCCATTTGGAACCATCATCCCCTTAATTACTAAGATGTTGATAATCATATTTAGTTAAGCATCAAACGTCACTAACCAGTTACAACCTCCACCAACAAAATCCAAATAAACTGAGTTGACCAATACAACAAATTGAAAGTCTTTTCCATTAATGTCTAAGTCCATCCCATGGTTTCCCCATTCCTTGAGTAAACATGTCAAAAATACCTAATAAACCTAGGACTCCAAAGCAATACACTTCCCAACCAGAACAAACAACTGGCTTCCAAACCCTCCATATGCAAGATATAGGAAAGCTAAAATCTACCGTCTATGTATAATAATAATAATAAGACAATTAAACAGATGTGTGTGGAAAACAAGGTGGAGGAATTTGATAAGTCCAACCTTCAGATGAGCAATCTCATGATTTACTCAATCTACCGAACCGCTAACTAGACAGTTACCTAATCCAGCTGCACTATACAGCAGAAGCTGCAGAACCATGAGCTTAACAATTTCTACAGAACAAGATGGACCATAACCAAAAAATCACACGCATTTCAGCAGCGTTCCTCTCTTGGATGGTATGCTAAACTAAATTTAATCCCGTACAGTAATCAGCTCCATGGAACAGCTAGAGAAAAAATAGATTTCATGAACCTATTGTTTGGATGCAACAATTCAAATCTGTTAAATCTTGTGGATCCAGTGCAGCATAGCCAGCCAAATAAGCAAGCTCAAGAAAGTATTGAGGTTATATGTAGACATCCATATGAATTACTAGAAAAAACAAAGTTCCCTATATTTCGAAAAAAACAATTAAAGAGAACAAATAAAAAAGATGAAAAATATAAGTTACGTCAGATATAGATTAAGTGCCTCATACCTGTATTTGGCTGTCTCTTATTAACACTATAACCACCAACATAACCAGGAGAGCTTTTAGCTGAAACATCAGAGGCTGCACTGCCAAGCCCATAACCAAAGGGACCAGGTCCATCTCGATCGGAATTTGATGATCTCCAAGTAGGGTCTCCATAAACTGAATTACTACTGTAAAAGTCAGCCAAGGAACCATCAAAACCACCACCATTTGATGCAGCAAATGAAGATGTAGGGGCCACACTTGCACCACTGTTTCTTCCATACCCTCCAGTTCCCAGACCGTAACTGTTATCCCCGACTCCATAACCAAGATTCCTGCTATTGTTAGTAACATTACTTCCGCCGCCTTGAGCTGACATTGCTGAAGAAGGCCAATTAGCTCCAGAATTTCCAAACGTACTTCCTCCAATGGTCCCACTTCCTGATCCGATGTAAGCATTGCCATTTGTGGAGTTCGTTCCATAATTAAGACCACTCCCACCCCCACCCCCACTCCCATTCCCATTCCCCCACAAGTTCTGAGTCACTGAGCTGAAAAACGAAGACGCGTTTCCTCCATTATTGCCATCATACCCAATGGGGCTGCTAAACCTATTTGAAACATTGATATAATAAGGACTCAAACCCCGCCCGTAGCTCATAGTACTATTCAAGTTTGCATTTCCACCAAATCCTGGGCTCAACCCTGGCTCATAATTGATACCAATTCCATAACCAGAACCATATGGAGGAAATCCACTTCGACCACCTGCAACTGGACTGTATCTACCAAGTCCATAGCCTCCAACTGTACTTGGATTATACCCCTGAGTGTAGCCATTAAGGAAGCTATTGACCCTACTCAGACCATAGTTGTATCCTCCAAGAGGGCTGCGACTGGGACCAGGTGATAACTCCTTCGGAACTGCTCGCTTGACCTCAACCATTTTCCCATTCAGTTCATGAAATGTCTTAAGCAAAACCTTGTCCACTGCCTCCTCTGAATCATAAGTGATGAATCCAAAGCCTCTCGGCCTCTGGGTGTTGTGATCATACATCACCACAACATCCGTGATTGTTCCAAACTGTTCAAAGTACTTCTTGAAGTCACTCTCTGTGACAGTGGATGCTAAACCTCCAACAAAAATCTTTCTTGTGCGACCTGGACCTGGAGAACCCTGGATGCTGCCACTGCTTCTACCCAAAATATTCTGGTCATCCCTGGGAACAGCCTTTTTTGCCTCAACCTGAGAATAGAGAATGCATAGTAAAAACAAAGATCAAATTATACAAGCTCCGTGTATTAATCTAACAGAGTAGAAGTGTAAAGCAAAGTAGTGCATCAACTAAACTGACCGCAGAAGAAAGATAAAATACTGAGAACTGTGATTTACTCTAGCTGAATTTGAAATTAGTTTAACACAACCAAAGGAAATGAATTTGTACAGTTACATTTTCAAACTCCTAACTGTAACAAGGAAACGAATTTGCTTCGCAATTTAAGTGATCCAGAAGGAAAAGAAATCATTTTGATTACCATCCTTCCACCGATGTTGTGCTTCTCCATTATAACATTGTCCGCCACAGCTGGGTCAGAAAATACTACAAAACCAAAACCACGAGCACGGCCTGTGGTCCGATCCTTCATGATCACAGCTTCTACCACCTCCCCGAAGCTGCTGAAATACTCTTTCAGCCGCTCCTCATTTGTATCCCAAGATATGCCGCCGATAAACAACTTACCACTATCGGATTGCATTTTCTCTACAAGCCACAAGCACGTCATCAATTCAAGCTCGCCAAAAATCACAAATCAAACCCAAAAATGCAAACTTTAAATTAAAATATCAATCCCAACCCGGCAAAGATGGAGCATTTTACAATGGATCCGATATTAATTATACAATACAAACAAAAGTAAACCGATTCCAAAAAAAAAACAAAATGCCCACAATATCCAATACAATCCAACATCAACGCCCGCAGCTCAAAGTCTGTATTTTTTTTATCAATCCACCTAACTAGAACCAAATGCAGAAAATAGATACCCAACCAAACCAAAAAGAATACTACCTTATTTTTGAAATCCTAAGAACACAGATTGTAAATTCGATTCAAAAACAAGTATTCCTGGATTCAATTTAGAAACATCCGATCCTTCACCGATCAAATACTGGACCCAGAATTACGCACACCTACCACAAGAAGAAAGAAGGAAAGAAAAAAAAACCAGAGTAAAATTTCAACCAGAAAAATCACCAGGATCCGAACCCACAATAAATTCAGAAAAAGCAACAAAAACCCAAATCAGATTCCCACCATACCGGCAGATTAATGAAAACCCAGATGCCAAATCCTGCAGAAAATTAAGATCTGAGAGGAGGTACTGTAAAAATAAGAACAGAGGGCGTGTTCAACCTCCTCTCCATATATCCCTCCTCCAATCCTTTTGTTTGTTCTTTCAATGGTGATTAACAAATGCAAATTCAGTTATCAAACAGATGAGTATTACCAGATTAAAAAATGTGTCTTTCTAGAGAGAGAAGGAGAGGTTTGGGAGAGAGAAAGGGAGGACATCGCAGGTCTGCGATGGATATATAGGCACTATGTAAATGGGAAGCTCATGATTTTAGCTTTTCTCTTTTTTTCTATTTCTTTAGGCTTTTTTTTTATTTTGTGAACAATTTGATTTGAAAATTTATGGAAATGTGTCAGTGCGAAATTTTTCCCAAATAAAGATAATAAATTTATCAGAAAATAATGGGAAAATATGGTTTTTCTTTTCTCTAGGATGATAACATAGGAAGGATTACATGTCGTTCCGGTCGCCGTTCATTCCTTATATAGTTTTTTTGGGCCAAGATCATTCCAGTTATAGTTACTGACAATACGCTGACGGTTTCTAATTTGAAACCACAATAAAGTGGGCCCAATTTCATTCTATAATGAGGCCACAAGGCATAGATTTTGAGGACTTTTTCTAGGCCTCTTTTGATCTTTGTTTTTTTTTTCTAACACTAATTCGCTTCTGAAGGAAAAGCAGCAGTTGCTGTTGAATTTCAATTACATATGAACACATGTCTAATTATAATTTTTAAATTTAATTATTTCGATATGTGTGCATCATATATTAGGGTTCAGTGGCTGCTACTATTCTTTTTGCAACGAAGTAGTGTTCTTTTTTCTTTTATGCATGCTATATTAGGAGGGTATTTGAACAAATGATCTTACATGCAAGGTGAATGTTGTTATCCAACTGGGTCATAAGTCTTTGATCTTAGTTTCCTATTGTTGATAATTTTGCTTTCTCAAATAATGACCATGAGTTTTGTACCATATTTTGATTTGCTTTTTGAACTTTCAATTTGATTCTAAGCCTGTTAATCTTTGAAAACGTGTTACTTTTCATATTATTGTCAAATCTAATCAAAATTTCACGTAAACTTGAAGGTCATTTTGTCTATTCAAGTAGAGAAAACTAACACAAAAATGTTGAAAAGTTTGATGCTTAAAGAGAATTGGGAGATGTATTAAAAAAAAAAAAGAAAAAATAAACTAAGAAGCCTTGAACCAAATTGAAAGTCCACAAGAGACCTCGTTGTTCTAGATGATTGAATTATTGCCTGACCAAAAGTAAACCATGGTAGAGTCTTTGTTATTAGAAAGTGAGTTTTTTTATTTTACTTCTTTTGAAGAGAAATCCTAAAAAGACTCTTTCAAAGTAGGACTACTCTTCATGAATTTAGTATCACCTTTTTTTTTTTTTTTTTTTGCACAATGTTTTATAATGTTGACATGGAAATTAACGTCAAACTATGAAGCGGCAGAGAGTCCAACTTGATGCGGGAATTAAAATCTAATGAAAATATTAAAATAGACGAAGTGAGCAACATGGATGGAGTTGGTGAGTGAGCAACATGCATGTTAATATTCAATGAAAATTTTAAAACTACTAAGAGGAATTTATTCTGGCGACTGATTTAGCGTGCGTAATTAACGTGCAACTTCCAAGAGGAATATGTTCTTCACCTCATGAAGGAGTGTGCGTTTGCCAAATGTGCTTGGCTTTCCACCACCCCCCCACCCAATCCAATGGGTTCAACCTTCAACGATAGGACAACGGAAATGGTTCCCAGACATCTCCTTGTCCTTTTTTCTGATGACATGCTGGGCTCCGTGAGGCGCAAGGAATGAGATATTGTGGACGGATAGAAATGATTCCTCATACCTACTGGTGCTGGTGGCCAAGGCTTCTGCATTGGTGTCACGAATCTCTGGCGGTCAACTCACAGCCTTTTCACTACCCAATCAATCCCCTGGTTGCTTTCGTTGGTCACCGCCGCCTACGGGTAGCCTGAAAGTGAACATAGATGGATCATGGAACTCGGATCAAAAGATTGGTGGCGCAGGGTTATTGTAAGAGATGCAGCTGCTGACTTTGTCTCGGCGGCCTGCAGGAGTTTCAGGGATGTCTTTTCCCCTTTGCAAGCGGAGGCAATGGCGGTTCCCGAAGGTATAGTTTAGATACTGGCGAGGGGTTTTCAAAAACATTGTATTGAGTGTTTTAGAATCATAGTACTCTCCGCACACCTATTTTTACACATTTCAATAATCGGTTGTCGGATCGAATAAATTGAAGAAGATCAGTAGCCACTTAGTACTACAATTTAGTAGTATTCATTTTCGCTTGTAAGTAAAATGTTTTAGGTTCAGTTATCGCCAAAGGCAAATCTGAATCACATTATTGCTAGCCATTTTGAGGTTAAGCCAACCCTTTTTTTCCTTTACTGTACATAATCTCGTTTGTTCAAAAAAAATACCAAAATTAAATAAGGGTGTGTGAAAAGTAAAAATAAAAATATCACATTGTTCAAGCATCCATATTTTATAATTGAACATTGATGAGATATTTTTTTTTTTTGATAAGACGATAATCTTATATAGATGAATAAGAATTCGAACTCGCATGCAAAAGACAATACTGCTATGGCGGAGTAGCTTAACCCACACATGCTCAATTCGAAGTTAAATGTTAATTTAGGTGACCCTTATGCTCATAATTCCAAAATCTCACCAACTGAAATGTAAGGGAAAAGAATTTAAAGCCTCCATTTGCTTTTAACATGAGCAAAGAATTTTTTTAACTTAGAAGGTCACTTTCTGAAACTAAATACAATAAGAAAAGTCTTGGGATGGAAAAAGGTAATTATGAATTATATGTGGTAGGTTTCGGATCATGCATGTTCGTGCTCCCCACGAAAGGGACTTTGCATGATTTGGTCTTTGCACACGATTGTTACTTTTTCATTGTCATTATCATAACGCTACTTAATATTATTAACACGTGGACGATAGGCTAACAATGTCATCTACTTATATTATAATATGTGAATTGGTACTATTACGTAGTTGTGTAAGTTGTGAGCGTTATCTTAAAAAATTTCTCGTTGTTGTTAATAGGGATAATATTGTAAAGGATAAAACTTAGTATTCTTAAGTTTTGTTATTTCAGTTTTATTTTGCATAGTTGGTTAATTAGGGTGAGCTGTCAATACAAGAGTGTTAGTATCTTGTATATAAATGCTTGTGTGTAATCTTATTGATTAAGTAATGAAAATATAGTTACCTATCGTGTTTTTAGAATCTACAACTGTTTAATATACTGTCTCTTAATTAATATAATGATATTTCTCTTCCTAAGGTTTGAAGAGACCTCAAGTTCAAATTCAAACTTCTCGTAATAAGTAATGATAATATAAGAAATAAAAACTTTCAACAAATATCACCCATATGTACATATTGACTATGTTACAAGCTTTACAAGGCAAGAGATTAGTAATTTAGTATTCCTTTTGCCAATGGTACAGAGCTTTCATTAAACAAAGTTCAATCAGACAAATTACTAATTTAATAATTAGTAATTTAGTATGGGCATATTATATCCAAAGTCGATCGATCTATTGGTTAGTTAATGTGCTGATGATGGGATCCGAAGCCATCATACCATCACATGCATACAAAGTCATACACTTATATATTATATTCTCTGCACGCACGTGCGAGAGGCTTTTTTACATCATGAGCGCTACGCGCCCTAAATATGTGTTGTTTTAGATATTCTTATATTTCTTAAGTGATTATTTTAGAAATTGTGGATGTGTGTCCATCACAATAATTTCTTTTTATTTTCAATCATCTAACTTAGATGTGCACATATGCATACTTACCATAATTCATTTTGAGTTTCATTTTGGCAAGCTTAAATAGGGATTACAAACTTAGACTATTAATCGGAAGTGGGTATATATGATTTTCATTTAGTGGTTTGCATTACTAATATCAATTCCCTGTCTACATTCTCCTCACTTCTTTTTGGTTAAATATGCTTTGGTGCAGTGAATTAGTAGAGCATTCAAACATAAATTACAAACAGAATTACTGCATTACTAGGTATTTCCCTCATTTCATTAATAAGGTATTTCCCTATCCATTCTTAATTTTGTTAGATGGTAGCACTAGTACAAAAAACACTTTGCGCGATGCAAGTCCTTCGTCGCGCAAAGTGAAAAAACGTCACGTAAAACTTTGCCCAACGAACCTTCATCGCACGTAAACCGTCATGGCAAGGCAGTGACAGAAGGCTTTGCGCAACGCATGTGACCCCTTCGTCGCGCAAGATCTTTGCACGATGCAGTTTGTGCCACGTAGACTACGGTTGCGCAAAGTGTCTTTGCATGACGCATGTTTCGAAGTCGCGCAAAGATACTTTGCGCGACGCAGTCTACGTCACATAAAGTGGCTTTGCGCGACGTAGGCTACGTCGCGTAAAGTGGATTTTTGGTTTTGGTGAAAAATATTATTTTCTTAATTTTTAATAATATTGTAATTAAATTCTAAATAATAATTAATTACCCAAATAAAAGTATTTAATTATAAAATATATGAAAATGTATATACAAGATGTCCGCATAAAAAAGAAAAAACTACAAGTAGTCTTCTAGGTGAAGTGGCCACTGGGTATCGGCAGGGTAAAATGGCTCAGAGGTTGAAGGTGTAGCAAGATCAGGTATTGGTAGCAAGATTTGGAGGTCGGTCATCTTTATGGCTCGTATAAGGTCTCTTATTTGCCCAGCATAAGCCTGCAGCTGCTCGCCCTAGGCCCTTATCTGCTCCTTCATCTGCTCGCCCTAGGCCCTCATCTGCTCGCCCTGGACCTCAAGCTAACCCTTTAGGGTTGTCACTTCCTCCTTCAATGAATCGACCTCTGTGGTGTTCGATTTGGAAGAAGAGACACCAATCTCACGAAGTCGTGCTTTCCCCATGCACTGAACAACCTTGCCGTGACGACGACCGAAGTTCTGATCCAGGACATCAGTCAAGATCTGAAAACTTGCATCCTCGGGTACCATGACGTCCTCAATTAGGGTCTCCGGGAGAAGCTGCGATGTTGCTTCTTGGAGAACAGCAATGCATTTTTCCACCATAAGAGCATGTAATAATAAAGAAAAAACATATATATAAATAATATCTTCGCCAATATGAAGAATCAGAACGAAAAGCTGACGCACATAAGTTTACCTTATTACAGATAACATTAATCAACAGAAAAAGGTCAAATTTAAGTCATTTTTCGGTATGAGGGATGAAGACTCAAATTCAAGTCTTATTTTCGGTGATCTAGTTATGTAGTTAAGAACTTTGATATCAAGCAAAGTAGGAACCCATTAA